CAAAATTAGATTCCAGTGGCACCTTTAAGACCAACAAAGGTTTATTCAAGGTATGAGCTTTTGTGTGCACGCACACTTTTTCAAATACATTCGAATGGTGGATAAGGTTCAAACTTATAGACAGGGAAATTAACATGTAACATGATGATGTTTAAGATATGCAAAGTCAAAAACAACAAGCTAAGGTTCTAAGGTCAACAGTTGTAAAGTAATAAATATGTCCGAATAGCAGATAAATGTCTAAAGGTGTCTTTTCTAATTGTGGGAAGCAAATCGAGAATCTCCATTCTCTCCTCCCAGGCATGGAAATTCTTGGTTTGCTTCCCACAATTAGAAAAAACACCTTTAGACGTGTATCTGTTATTCGGACATATTTATTGCTTTAAAACTGTTGACCTTAGAACCTTAGCTTGTTATTTTTGACTTTGCATATCTTAAACATCATCATGTTACATGTTAGTTTGTTATCCACCATTCCAATGTATTTGAAAAAGTGTGCGTGCACACAAAAGCTCATACCTTGAATAAACCTTTGTTGGTCTTAAAGGTGCCACTGGACTCTAATTTTGTTCTACTGCTTCAGACCAACACAGCTGACCACCTGGATCTATCTTAAGGACGAAGAAATCATGATAACAAATCCTGCATTCTCAAGCACTCACAGAAGAGACAGCTGCTAGCAAAATATTCAACAACAACAGGATTGGAAATAGGTGGTTTTTGGGAAGCAGATAACTTTTGTTCTGACTTCTTTTCAAACAGAGTTTGTGAGCACTTAAAATATTTATGTTCCTGCAAAGAAACAGTGATACTCTGGGACTGGTACATTATATACAAATTCAGCATGTATGCCTTTTCTTCTCTATATAAATTAATTCGACTTCTATTAGTCACATGGAGAGGTAAGGGGATACGAAAGGTACTGAAGCCTCACCGCTTGACCACTAGGAAATCCTATTTAGCCCCTCAGGCTTCGACTGTTTCCAAAGTTGCTTTTAAGCCCATCTTTGCAAGTAAGAGATTTTCATGTGCTGAATTCTGCACTCAACACCAATTTTGTGCTTTCTATACATACACGAGGTGTGCAAACCCCTGTTCAAAATACAGATGTCCTGATCAGGCAGTTATATTTGTTGTTGTTCAGTAGCACAGTGGAGTCTGACTCTTTGTGACCCCATGGACCACATCACGCCAGGCCCTCCTGTCTTCCGTCATCCTCTGGAGTTTGCTTAATCTCATGTTCATTGCATTGACAACACTGTCTAACAGTCTCATCCTTTGCTGTCCCCTTCTTCTTTTCCCTTCAGTTATATACTAGGTCTCAAACTGAAGTTATATGATCTAAAGATGATAGCTTCAGAGGGCACTGTATTGGGCTGCAGTAAAACAATTGGATTCAAGTCCAGAAGCACCTTAGAGACCAACGACGTTTTCTGGGTATAAGCTTTCAAGAGCCAAAGCTCCCTTTGTCAGACAGGAATAGAAATAGTGATCTGAGTCTTTTTATCTCAGTTAGAGATGGGAGGGATGTTGTAAAAGAAGCTTGTAGAGGATGCAGAGATACCGTGCATATTATAATTAGCTTGATTACAGCAGAGGAGAAATGCCTGGGGGCAGAAAATCAGCATCTGTAGTGAGATAAGAATCCTATATCCCTATTCAGCCATCAAAGACGGTGAATACAGAGGTTGGTGACAAACACAAAGTGAGGCGTCTCTGAATCTATTTACAAATCACCGCTAACAATGTTTACTGTACAAGGTTTGAGTCCGGGGGCACCTTTTAAGACCAACGAAGTTTAATCCTGGGTATAAATTTTCGTGGGCATGCACACCTCTTAAGATATCTGAAGAAGTGTGCACGCCCACAAAAGCTTATAGTCAGAATTAAACTTTGTTGATCTTAATGGTGCGACTAGACTCAACTTTGTTCTGCTGCTTTAGACCAACAGAACTACACACCTGAATGTTTACAGTAGTACCTGGGTATAATTTGTCACCCCTGACATAAAACCTTGACTTGTAACTGCACTACATAATTAAAACTGCAACATTTTATTATTAGGATGTGAAACTATAGCCACAACAGACAGAGAGAGCACTCTTCAAAGAACCTGTCAGGAAAGGATTAGGTGTCATCCTGAACAAGAGCTGTTCAAACCACTGAATTCATGTGCACACAAATCCAGTCCAAAGATGATACACAAAAACACAGGAAAACCATATCCCCAAGACAGTCTGCCGGGAAAAACAGAGCATACATTATCCCACAACGGATGATCCCACAGGTACCCGATCACTCCGGAACCGAGTAGGGTTTAATCTCATGTCCATAATTAGAGAGCCACTGCTTACGCAGGTAGCAACAAAACGCCAGCTGCAGTTTCTCCTCTTAATTATTTGGTAAAGCCCTGTGTGGCTACCCCAGATATAGCAATGCAACATTCAACTAACTGTGGGGGAAAGTGAGAACACTGAACTCGGGGCTGGATTCCAGCTCTCTGAGAGAGTGCTTCTGAATCAAAAACAAAAGATCATGAACCAAAGCACTGAGCAAGAAGCATTCAATGAGAGAGTCTGTCAGGGAAGTGGCTCTAGTTTGTAAACACCCCCCAAATGAAAGAAAAGAATGAAATAATACCAGAATCAGCATGCAATCTGCATTCTGAAAAAGCAAAGGAGAAAGGCCTAATACTGGGAAAGGAAAAGTCACTATATCTAACTGTATACTACATCAGGAACAATGTTTGAGTTCAGTGGCACCTTGAAGACCAATAAAGTTTTATTTATGGTACAAGCTTTCGTGAGGAAGCACACTTTCTCAGATACAGTGGAACAGAACAAGGCAAAAAAATCTGAGGAAGTGTGCTTGCATACAAAAACTTGTACCGTGAATAAAATCTTGTTGGTCTTCAAGATGCCTCTGGGCTCAGACTCTGTTTTGCCACTTCAGACCAACACGGCTACCCAACCTGAATCTACATCAGGAACAGACATGGCTAACAATGAAACTAAGGAATTTTAGTCACAGCAACCCAGGAACTTTGTAGATAGCGTGGGACCGAGTCTTCTGCAGTCTTTCCCATGCAACTTATGCATATTTCTGAACCAAAATGGAAGCAACTACACTCTTCTCAAACAACGGTAATACCTTACTTTCCTCTTAACTGCAGCTGTACAGTACTTCATATCTGTATTATTTTGGACAACTCCTTCAGTGAGAATTAAGCCGTCTTTTCTCAGGTTTGAAAGTCACTTGCGACTTGCCCAAATCTCCTCCTATTAACCAAAACTACAGGGATGACCACAGAATCTGAAGAGTCAGGCTACCTTAGCTACTGGTGTAACAAACAGCCCTACAATGGCAAAGCTACTAATGGACAGCAGAGGAAAGACAATATCAAGCAGCCCTTTCAACAAGAAGCAAGAAAATGCCATTTCTCATTAACCCAAGATAAGAAAAATAGGAGGGACACAGCAATACCTGCCCAACAAACACAAAGCAAGGCATCTCCAGAACAGATGAGTGGGAAGGAGACAACTATCTCCCATACCAGCAGAAAAGCGCAGGAGTCCAGTCACTGCTCACTTCTTCAGATACACAAAAGCTCATACCGTCACAAATTTTGTTAGTCTTTAAGTTGCTACTGAACTCTTGTTCTTTTCTCTCCCATACTGTTAGCAATCCAACCATTTTACACACTTTCTCTTATAAACTTTAAGCCAAACTTATTTCCTAAGCAAATACAAAGTGTTTTCACATTGCTTTGCTGTCCTGAACCACTCCAAGGTTCTCCGGGCAATTCACGAGCCTGCTCTTTCACACACAAAAACATTATAAAATTAATAGAGAATAATGCCACCTTCTCTGTACAAAACATAAGAGAATGGACCCACTCCACTAAGTGTTGCAGTACGAGGCATTAATACCTGCCCCTACATTTTGTTTTTGCAAACATCTGTGCACAAAATGAAGGGCTGTGCACATGTCTCATTGGACTTCCTTCCTGCAAAAATCTCCCCCCAGGAGCCACATGATCCCCACATACTAGGGTTGCCAGCTCTGGCTTGGGAAATACCTGGAGATTTTGAGGGTAGAGTCAAAGGAGGACAGGGTTAGGGAGGAACTTCAATGAGGTATAACACCATAGAGCCCACCATCCAAAGTGGCCATTTCCTGCAAGTGAACTGAGCTCTTTCACCTGGAGATGTGGCAATAGTGGGAGATCTCCAGCCACCACCTGGAGATTGACAGCCCTGCCACATACCTGGATCACACACCAAGCAAATTCAGGGTCGCCAGGGAAAACCCATTACTTGACCCCAGTTCTTGCAAAACCTGAGCCACCAAACCCCCCACCCAATGTTTCTGGGGTGCCTCCCATGCAGGGGATCTACCCTGAAGCTAATGAAACTTAAGCTCCAGGGCTCCTAATCCTGGAGGAACCCGGAAGCAACTTTTATTTTTAAAATGAGTGAATTTTTCAACAGACCTGATGGAGTTTTAAAAAAGTGTGTGTTATTAAAATAAGGCTATTTTAGCGACAGACTCATAAGCCAGTGGGTTGAAGTACTTAACATGGACCTTAGAATATCCTCTAACCTCTAAGGTGAGTCAGTGTGAGCCAGCTCACAGTTTTTTAGCCTCCGGCTCACACATTTTGGTCTTAGCTCAGGAAGGGTGGCCCCAGCGCAAACTGATTTAGGCAGCAGCCGCATCGCTCGCTCCCAACTTTAATGCCGATAGCTCACATAGTACAATTTTTGCTCCCTAGTCTCCACAGCCTGTTGGAGTACTGCGAATACCCGTCTCACATGGCCTCAAAACACCCCTGTAAGTGGTCAGATTTCAATTTTTTTCTCTCGGGGGCTTACAGCCCTGTTGCCCTATTGCCGCTGGTTGAGTAGGGCCCCCCGTAACAGTTCGGGGTCCCAACAATGTGGGTCCGCCCCTGCCCCCATGACACGCATCTCCACGCCCCCCCCCATCCTTAAGCTCACCATCCGGGAACTCGCGGTCGCTGATGTGTTGCACTCCTCCGGCCCCCATCCCGACCCCGCCGCCTCTGGCCGCCGCCCCGCGGGCCCGTCCAAGCTTGGGGCTGGCGCCGGGGGAGACGCAGCAGGTGAGGGTGTTGCCCATGGTGGCGGCCCGCAGCGACCGACCGCCGCTCGGGCTACAGGCTTCGGCTGGGCTACCGCGGCCCGCGGCGACGCCGGCGGCAGCAGCCCCGCCTCATGGTCACGCCTCCTTCCTTCCTTCCTTCCTTCCCGCCTGCGGCCGCTCCCCACAGCGAGGGAGCCCAGAAGCCCCCGCCGGAAGACCGGCCGCCTTCCCAACGGGCCCCGCTGAGGAGAACGGGGGGGGAGGGGAGGCGGCGGCGCGGCTCTCCGCCGACTCGCGCCCGCCGTCCAATCACCGGCCGTGCCTGGGCCCCGTCATGTGACGCACGCCGGCGAATCCCTGAGCCGGAGGCGGGGCCGGTGGCGCCACCCGAAGCCACGTGACGCGGGCGCAGGGAGAGTTTGTGGAGAGATGGAAATTCTTAAATCCAGCCCGGAGAGTCTTTTCTTCCCCCCCCCTCCTGGCCAACCATAGAGATGGGCTTTCCGGGAAAGGTCGCCGGCCCGCAACTGGGCTCTTGTCATCTATGGTGAACACCCGGCTATGGTCGTTTGCGGCTGGTTGGTTTCAGACAGACCGGAAATATCCTTGAAGAGAGATAGAGGGTGTGTGTGTAAAAAACCCCAAACCAAATCTCTGGGCTTTCCCTCTCTATGATCTTCCCATCCGGGTCCGCCTGGCTTCCAGCGAGCCGTGTGGTACAGCCTTCAGGACTGCGACTTAGGAGAGTCCAGTTCAAATTCTGACTCGGCTGTGAAGCTCTTTGGACGACCCTGGGTCAGTCTGTCAGCTAGCTGCACTCACAGGGTTATCGGGGCAAAATAGAACCTGTGCATAGTGGTTAGAATACTGGACCAGGAGTTGGGAGACCCAGATTCGTAGGGTTGCCAACCTTCAGGTGCTACCTGGAGAACTGCTACAGTTGATCTCCAGGCGACCAAGATCAGTTCCCCTGGAGAAAATGGCTGCTTTGGAGGGTGAGCTCTATGGCATTATGCCCTGCTGAGGTCCCTCCCCTCTCCAAACCACACCTTCCTCAGGCTCCACCCCCAAAATATTGAGGTATTTTCCAACCTGGAGCTGGTAAGCCTAGATTCAAGTCCCCACTCTGCTATGAAGCGTTCTGGGTGCTCTCCGGACAGTCTCTCTCTCTCCCCCCTACTTTATAGGGTTGTTGGGAGGATAAAACGGAGCAGGGGAGAACACAGAATATCCCCTGGAGTTCCTTGGAGCAAAGGCAGAATAAAAAGGTACTAAATAAAGGGACTGGGTGAAAGTTGGATCTGGAGAATTTCAAACAGATCTCCATGAATTCATATGATTTTTACACTGAAACAAAACCATCATAATATTGTAGATCGGGGTGTCAAACATAAGACCCAGGGCTCTTACTCAGCCCGTATAGAAATGTAAGGTACTCCCCCTTTTAGGGTATCCCTTGGGAAAAAACTAGTCTTGCATATGATTAAATACATCTATTGGAGGTTCTATGGGTTCCCCAGTAAGTTTCATGCTAGGAATCAAATGCTTTTGTTTGTATTCTGAGTAAAATTGTTAATTGTGTTTGTCTGTGTCCTTTATAAAGTTTATATCTCCAGTACCTGGTGTTACATTTTATGGCACACATGGTCTGGCCCAATAAAGTGACATTTATGTCAGATCTGGCCCTTCTAACAAATTAGTTCGACACCTCTGTAAATGTGGATCATGTCTAAGTCTATAGGCAGCACCACAAAAATCATGGTACTGCCATGGCACAAAAAACGTCGTTCCAAAGCATGGAACCTCATGATTTTTGTGTTGGGTCACATACCATGTCCATAGCCAACAGATTGCACCACAAATGCCACTGCTGCATGGTATCACCATGGTGCAAAAACGTGGTTCTGAAGCACAGATCATGGATCAGAATTTTTACATTGAGTTGCCCCCAGACTCTCCATCAAATCACGTATCATGTCCAAAGCCACAGATTGTACCACTAAAATGATGGATTCCCTGCTTTGTGGCTCCACCATGGGAGAAATATGTCATTCTCCCACCAGCCATCAGTTGAGACACGGTAGGGGGGCCCCGGGGTGGTGGCCTTGGACTCGTAGGGGCAAATTCCACCTCTCGCGTGTGATGCCGCTCGGACATCACACGAGAGAGGTCATTCTGGCTCCCCCAGCTCTCCTTCGGGGCTCCTTAAAAAGCTATGGCTGCCGCTGCTGTTCTTGGCGGCAGCTGCGGGGGGGGGGCAAACGTTATCGTGACTCCCTGAGCCCCGGGATGGTGGCCTTGGACTCGTAGGGGCAAATTCCACCTCTCGCGTGTGATGCCGCTCGGACATCACACGTGAGAGGTCATTCTGGCTCCCCCAGCTCTCAGGAGGGGCTCTTTAAAAAGTTATGGCCGCCACCGCTGTTCTTGGTGGCAGCTGCGACGCCCGCACGTGGGGGGGAGGGGGGAAACGTTCTTTTGCCTCCCTGAGCCCTGGGGTGGTAGCCTTGGACTCGCAGGGGCAAATTCCACCTCTCACGTGTGATGCCACTCGGCACCAACACAATACAAAAATGTTCCAAAGCATGGATTCTCAGGATTTTTGCATTGAGTTGTCCATCAAACTCACCATCAAATCGCATATCCTATCTGTAGCCACAACTTGGACCATAAAAATCACATATCCACTTCATTGTGGAAACACCACCGAGCAAAAATGGGAGTTCCAAAGCATGGATCCTCAGGATTTTTGTACTGGGTCACCCCAAACACACTATCCAATATCCTTGGCCACAGATCACACCAGAAAAATGACCCACATAAAAATCATATGAATTCATGAGGATCCATGCTTTGGAATTATCTTTTTACACCATGGTGGTGCCATGAACCAGTGGATGCATGGTTGTTGTCATGCAGTCTGTGGCCCTGAACATGTGTGACTGGATAGTGAGTTTGGGGTGACCCAGTGTAAAATTCTTGAGTACCCATGGATCTGTGCTTCAGAACCACATTTTTGCACTGTGGTAGCCCCCAGAAAGTGCCAAATCCATAATTGTTCTGGTGTAATATCTGGCTATGGACATGATACATGATTTGACAATGAGTTCAAAGTAACTTGAAGCAAAAATCCTGAGGATCCATGAAGATCCATGTGCCATGGGTCCGCCTACTAATACCTCCTTGGATGAATGGCCCCACTGGTGGACCTCCTGATGGCACCTGGTATTTTTGGCCACTGTGTGACAGAGTGTTGGACTGGATAGGCCATTGGCCTGATCCAACATTGGCTTCTCTTATGTTCTTATGTTTTCTTAAGGAAGCTAGCCTCAGCCCTTGGATGCTGCAGGAAGACCCACTGGACTGGGCTGCGGCTCAGTGGTAGAGCATCAGCTTGGCATGCAGGAAGTCCCAGGTTCAATCCCTGGTATCTCCATTTAAAAGATCTAGCAGTAGGTGATGTGGAAGACCTCTGCCTGAGACCTTGGAGAGCCGCTGCCAGTCTGAGTAGACAATACTGACTGCAATGATGGTCTGATTAAGACAGTTTCTTGTGTTCATGTGAAAAAAGGAAGCCACTCCGCCACATGCAGATGGAGTGTCTAGGCTGGTGTTCCTTTAAGGCTGGAATGGGTGAATGGTGGAAAGGCCTCAGTTCCCTTGGAGTATCATCACCCTGTTTGGCTGCTTCCACACCAGGGCGACTTTCTGTGGTACTCTGGTTGCTGATGTAATACTATGTGAAATCACCCTCGCAGTGGAGATTCCAAGCAGCCTAGGGTCACCCCTTTTCTCTCCACTGTAAGCTTTAGTTTCCCTTTCATAACTGATATGCTTTGAAGCCTTCCCCCCCCCCCACTGTATTCTCATGTGTTTCTCAGGATTGTCCACCTGCCCTGTTTAAATTTTTATATTTTGAGAACTGTGTGGAGGGGGGCACACAAAACGCTGCATATAAATAACACCAGGGGTCATTTCCTGCAGGAGCGCACAGGAGCGGAGCTCTGGCAGTAAAGAGCCCAGGGGGTGGGCACATGCAAGAAGCCCCGCCCCCTGCTCCCAGCAGCCCTGGGCCACGAGGAGCAAGAAGCAGCCAGGTAAGTTGCAGTGGGCGTTGCCTTCTGACATACTTCCAATGATGTCAGGTGGTGTGGCATATGTAAATAAGTTATGCTAATGAGTTATGCTAATGAGCTCCTGCACCCCTTTTTCTACAAAATGACCCCTGAATAACACAATAGTTTAAAAAAACCCTCTCCAATGATCCCCTTCTCCCTCCCTCCCAGGTTGTCAGATGCTTGATTTTTATAGTGTTTTAACTGCCACATTGTCGTGAGTGACATAATGCCGCATCAAGAGCAAAGCAGCAGAAAATCAAGTGTATAGCATACAGCAAGCACGAAGCTGGAGAGAAAGGCCAAAGTCTGGCCTCAGATACGCCACTCATGGAACTCTGGAGCTGTGGCAGGAGAGCCTCCAGCGTCACACGGCAGAACTGAAGAGAGTCACAATGCCCAGCCAGGTTCTAGAAGGGTGGTGTGTCACACAGCTGCATCCGTTGGCACGAGAGATGTTGGAGGGCCACAGTTCAGGCACTCCCTGCTAAACAAGAGTCCTCTGAGGGCGTTTTGGAGCCAAAAGTGCAGGTAGTGGAAGTGAGTTCTGGAGAAGCATCAGCACAGGCGGAAACCTGGGCGGAAGTGACTGGAGCATGTAGGGAAGACGTTTTCAAGATGTTAGGCAACTTGGGTTTTTCAGCCACTTCTGCCTCGACCACCACTGAGGAAATCCTGGAAGTGATATCAGAAACCTTCTTAGGCAAGAAAACCTGCAGCCCAGCCCCCCACCCCCCCCGAACACAAGAATTCACCTCAGGAATCGCTCATTTTCTTGGCCAGGATGTGGTTGAATGGGTCCTCCTGGAGAAGCTGCACTCTGCTGATAAGAACGCAGATTGGGACACCTGCTCCCAAAGACACTTCACTGCAGGAGGCAAAAAGAAGAAGAGGAGGAGAAGGAGGAGGAGATTGGATTTATACCCCGCCCTTCACTCGGAGTCTCAGAGTGGCTTACAAACTCCTTTCCCTTCCCCTCCCCACAACAGACACTCTGTGAGGCAGGTGGGGCCGAGAGCGTTCTTTCCAGGACTGTCCTTGAGAGAACAGCTTTGACAGAGCTATGGCTTGCCCAAGGTCATCCAGCAGCTGCAAGTGGAGGAGTGGGGAATCAAACCCAGTTCTCCCAGATTAGAGTCCGCATACTTAACCAGAAGT